CTTCCCAAATCCTTCGTGCTTGGCTGCCTCTCACCTCTCCCCCTTTCAGCTGGATTTATGGGAAACTCAGCAACATTCTGGAGATAATAGCGGGGTGGATGGAGTGGCTGTGCAGGATAAACATCCTCCCAATCCCTAGGAATAGACACCCACCCTCCCAGCACGCTGCCTCTGGGGAGAGGGGCATAAACCTGGCACCCAGTGTTTGACAGGAGAGCTCCCCTTTAGCTGTGCTCTGTCTTATCATGGAGTCATGGAATGGGTTGGGTTGGAAGGAACCTTAAATCTCATCTCATTCCAACCCCTGCCATGGGCAGGGACACCTTCCACTAGCCCTGGTTGCTCCAAGCTCCATCCAACCTGGCCTTGAACATGTCCAGGGATGGGAAGTGTTGGGTGTTGATGGAATTACAACCACGCTCCTGCACAGCCAGTACATCCTGGGGGTTGGCTGGAGTTTATTCTCTGTTGGTTTTTTTTTTTTTCTTTTTCTCTCTTTTTTTTTAAGTTCTTCCAAGAAGAAATCAGGGCTCAGGCTGTCCAGGCACTGTGAGTGCCTCATTCCATGTGGTTGGCAGGGAAGGGGACACGAGAGGGAAGCTGCAGTGATGGGGCTGCTCCAGAATGGGCTGTGACAGCTGAACTGGTGATGTCACCCATGGGGCTGCTTCTCATTAGGACTCCAGTGCCAGACACAGTGACATTCCCCAGCACACAAAACACAGAACAGGCAGTGGGAAATGTGGTGCAGGAATGTTCACCCAGGTTTTTGGGTTGGTTTGTTGACAGGAGCACGGTGCTTGTGTAGATGATGAAGGTGTGGAGGTCAAGCTCAGCCTTGCTGGGCCACTTCATCAAAACTGGGGTCACAGGGCTCTTGTTGTGACATTCAGAGATAAGCATTTGGGAGGTAAATGAGATGGAGCAGCCTGTGAGGAGATCAGAAGGTGCTTGTGTAGCTTCAGACCTCAAGTAAATTACAAATACAGCGTTGGTAGCCTGACCACTGCTGTGTCCTTTGTACTGTACACAGGCTATTAGGATCCAGATAAATAATGTAGTTTAGTTGTCAGAAAGACACATGTGTTGCCCAGGATTTTAACACAGATTTATTCTTGGTTTATTTTCCGTGGAGTTATTTTTAATGAGAATGGAAAGGGAGTTAAAAATTATGTGGATTCAGATTTCATTGTTTAGCTACTTGATCAAAATATAAACTCATTGTTTTTACTCTTGTAAAGAGGAAATGCTATATTAGCTTTCAGCCATCAGATTTGATTCAGATAATGATACAGCATCCTAATTCATGGGCTCTTCATCAGATACTGAGTTTGTCTGTGATAGAGCCCTTTTCAGAAAACTGCTCTACCCCTGATAAATCATCCAGAGAGAAAGAAGGCATGTATTTAGATGCCATGGAAAAATAGGCTAATAATGGGATTGTATTCCTGTACTCAAATATTTCAGCGTGTTTGTGTTGATAAATTATAATTTGTTTGAATGTTCTGTTGCATGGACCCTTTTCAGCTGTTCTGCTTGGCTGCAGTGGTTTGGTAGCTTTGTGAGGGCTGGAGCCTGGATGCTTTTCCTGTTTTGATCACAGCCCAGGCAGTAAAGGCCACCACACTTTAAACAGATAATAAATCACCCTGTGTCCTTGCTAACCAACACTGCAGACTCCCTCGGGTCTGAACTGAACGTCCTTCTTCCTGTTCAATTTAGTGTAAAGAAGGTAAAATTCTGTTTGAAGTTCAGTGTAATATTTTGAGACAAAGTCTGATGAGAAATTTTTCCAAACTGCCAAAAATAAATCTCCCCAGCAGAGCTGTGACTCGAGGCATATGTATTCCTGACTTCTGTCTGTTTATTTTTATTTCCTTTTGGTTGTGAGCTGTCTCAAGTTTTGATGTTGTTTCGCTGAGGAAGGAATTATAAAAGTACCCTATAAACTCTTTCCTATAAACTCTTTCCAAGGGCAAGCCAGGAAAAAGAGGGGAGAAAAGAAAAACTGGTGTGAAAAAGGCGTTTATGCCTTTTGCTGTGGTGTGTGCCATTTATCCACTCACCTGCATGGAGCATTTGGCTGAGTTTAAAACACTGGATCACATCCCTGCAGTTCCCTTTCGTGGCCTGTTTGCTCTGGGAAGGGAATGGCAGTGGGATGCTCTGTCTCAGTTGTTCAGCTGCAACAGATTTCAAGTTTTTGTGAAGATTTCAGTTGCCAAAGCTTTTTACCCTGTACAATAGTGTGCTGTGCTGTGTCCTGGGATTGCCCTGGATGGATTGCAGTGGGATATCCCATTGCTTGCCAGTGGAGCTGGATCACCCTGAGCTGCCTTCTCCTCTATCAGGAAAGATTTTACAAAACCTTTTACCAAGCTGCTGTCTGAATCAAGCACATGTTTTCCCATGATGGCATGAATTTTGCTTGGTAACCTTCTGATTGCTGGGATTAGTGTTTAGCATCCTGAATTTGCTAAATGAGTGCACTTGAAAGGTTTTCTCCCTGGCTTTGGGACGCTCCTTCTACTCCTCTCCACCCCTGCTTCTCTCCCTCTGCTGTTACAAACAACATCATCCCTCATTATTCAAGATGAATATGAAGGTGAAGTCCTGACATAGTTTATATTATGAAATAAAAGGTGCTGCAAATCCTGTTTTTCAGAAGTCAGGATGTGCCAGAGGAGGCAGTTAAATAGCAGGATCTTGGCTAGAGCTTGCCATGGACACAGGAGCAAGGATGACATTCTCCTGCCTCTGGGATTTTATCTCCTCTATTTCTGCCTTCACTTCTGACATCACTTTTCTGCCTGGTGACAAACAAATCAGTAAATTCAGAGGCAATATCAGGGACAAAAGCCCTAAACCCAGTGATGTTCAACCAGCTGAGATTTTTATTTGAAGAAAAGTTGCTTTCCTTGGATGATATAATTTTTCCTGATTTTATAAAGGGTGCCAGTATCCAGGCTGTAAATCTAATTTTGTTTGTAATTTCACTGGGCACTAAAACGGCCTCTGCCAGATTTTGGCCTTGAATGTGGGCATTTATTTTGCCATCAGTGGTTATTGTTACTTTCTTCAATGTCAGCATCATCAGGTTACAAAGAAAACATGTTCTAAAATGTGCACAGCCCTCAGGTCTCCCTGAGGAGGCAGGGAGTGGGGAAAAGCTGCTCGACCTGCCAGTTTGCTTTGGTAGAAATGTAATTTGTAGATGTTTGTGATCTACAAGGACAGTGTCCAACCTTTTTGTGCCCCAAAACAGGCAGCAGGATTTATCAGGAAACATTTGGGTGACTTGGCTTGGCCTAAGAACAGAAGCACAGTTTGGTTCAGTCCAAAGAGGGAGCTCAGAAAGCTGCAATATTATCCTTGACTTGATGGGGATTAAGCTGTATTTTAGTGCAGTAACCATGTCAGAAGTGAAATTTGACTGATCATTTGTCTTTGATAGCTTCATTTGCCTTGGGCCCCCTAAGCCATTTCTCAGGGAGTGGGAGAACTCCTGATACTCCAACTCTCTGCATGACTTGTCATTTAAATGACAAAAATCACTTCTCTCAAAAGCCTACTTTTCCTTCAGGAAAATCAGATTAAACCCAGGGCTGAGAGTGTTTTGGTGAGTGGTTTAACATCCAATATGTTGCATGACTGTAGATGTAAAAGTAAATGTGTTGGAAAAGAGAATTTCCCAACTTTTTAAGGTCACCTTCTTTTCCAAAAAGCTTGAAGCCTCAACAGACCCTTTTCTATACAGAGAAAATGCTTCAGACATGTCTTTGTGACCCCCTGCTCGAGGTTCAGGTAGCTCAGGACTGTAACCTGTGTGCAGGCAGGAGGATTTCAGGGTTACTGAAGCAGCTGTGACTGTTCCAGTTGTGGGCAGTGTTCCCAGAGCATCGTAGGACTCAGCATTGGAGGGGTGGTCCAGAGTCTGTCCAGATCTCACCTGGCCTTAAAAATGGGTCTTGAGCACTCACTAAGCACTAATTCTGCTCAGCTGAGCCTTGGAAATCTCTAAGGATGGGAAATCCAGCCTCTCCTGCAGCAGCATCAGTGCTGCCCTCCCAGGTGCTGCAGCATCAGGGTATTGGTTTCATCCTCTCCCAGATTTATTTCCAGGTGTAAATGAGCTATGAAGTGGCTGCTTGTGCCTTGTCAGTGGCAAAAGCAGGAATGCAGCATCTTGGCTGTGCATGACTAACAGTGGCCTCTGCAAAGTTACTGGATTTTATTCTTCAGGCACACACATAATAAGAATTATGGAATTTGTAAGTGAATCAGACCCAAAGCAGCTTAGAAGTGAAGCCTTAGAAATTTTTGTGTACAATAAATATACCTTTTTTTGTCCTAAATTATCTCAGTTGCTAAGTAAAAATATGCTATAAACTTTTAGAGTGATTCTGTGGGCAGTATTTTAATGAATTTTGTAGCACCGAGTATGTTGTAACTTTGGAAGAAGAAATTTGGAGTTATACAGAAACCAACAAATAATACTTGTCATCCTAAATGAGCTCCAGTTCTCTGATGACTAAAGCCAGAGCACTCTTGGGAAAATAATAAATAAAACAGAGATTTTGCAAAATGGCAACACTTCTAGTTGAAATGATGGTCCAGGATCATCTTCCTTTAAGCCTGGCTTCCATTTGTGGGAATTTCCTTGGCATAAGTTCAGAGGTGTAGCTGCTGTGGAGGTAGATAGAGACATTTACTGCTAATCTCATTAATGTTCAGCTGAATTAGGAAACTGAAGGCATTCAGTGCTTACCCAGCACCAGCACAGTTTGGATAATTAATACTATTTGCAGGTGTATGTCAAACTGGAAATTCAGACCTGCTCAAAGTGAACTCCAGGTATAATTCTATTTTAATCAAAGCTCCGACAAAACGCGATCAGAATTTAAGCAACACTTGAGAATTGAAAATAACATCAGGAAAAACTTGCTGCTGACCTGTCCTTTGCAGTTTTTCTGATGGGATCTCCTGCTTCTGTCTTCCAGGACCTGCGCAAACAGGTAGCTCCACTACTGAAGAGTTTCCAGGGAGAGGTAAGAGCTGCTTCTGGTTCTTAAGATGTTTTCAGTGCTGCCCCACAGGAGCCTGGTGTGCTGGCAGGGTGTGTGTGGCCAGCTGGTCACTGAGCCCCCAGGGCTCAGCCCTTGGCATTCTGTGTGTGCAGGGAACGTCAGCACCTGAAGGGAGCCTGAAGATGGACAGGGGGCTTTTACAAGAGCACAAAGTGACAGGACAAGGGACAATGGCTTCAAAATGACAGAGAGTAGGTTTGGATGGGATATTGGGAAGAAATTATTTCCTGTGAGGGTGGTGGGGCCCTGGCACGGGTTGTCCAGACCAGCTGTGGCTGCCTCATCCCTGGAAGTGTTTAAAACCAGGTTGGACAGGGTTTAGAGCTACCTGGGATAGAGGAAAGTGTCTCTTCCCATGGCAGTGGGGTGGAACAAGATGATCCTTAAGGTCCCTTCCAACCCAGGTCATTCTGTGATTCTCTGATACTCTGGGTTTGTGCTGGACAACCTAAACTGGTCACATCTCTTTGCTCTGACCCTCCCTGAGCATCCCTGAGCCTCCCTGAGCATCCCTGACCATCCCTGAGCCTCCCTGAGCATCCCTGAGCCTCCCTGAGCCTCCCTGACCATCCCTGAGCCTCCCTGACCATCCCTGAGCATCCCTGAGCCTCCCTGACCATCCCATAGCCTCCCTGACTATCCCTGAGAATCCCTGAGCATCCCTGAGCCTCCCTGAGCATCCCTGAGCCTCCCTGAGCCTCCCTGACCATCCCTGAGCCTCCCTGACTATCCCTGAGAATCCCTGAGCATCCCTGAGCATCCCTGAGCATCCTGTCACTGTGGCAGGACCCAGGTGGCACACCCAGCTGGCTGGGCCTCACTGACCCTGCAGGTTGAGCTGTTCATGAATTCAGTGCAGTGCACTCATAAAACACGAGGATACTGCAAATTGTTCTCCCTGCAAAGCTTTTCAGCTGTAAAACATTGCATTGCAGAGGGCTGATGGAAAACCTTGGGCTGGCAGGTGTTTGTTGGAAAGGCTGAAGCTCCACAGCCCCAGTGCTGGCTCCAACTTGGGTTTCTCTTCCCAGCACTCACACGAGCAGAGTGCTCACGAGTTTAAAAGCCAAGTGTTGTTATTCTGAAGAGTTTCTATAGGCCAAGGCAGCTGGGCCAATTAGAGAGTTTTCCATTTTCGCTGTGGCCAGATGGGAGCCGAGGTTCTGCTGCTCAGGGAGGGAGGGTGGAAATCACATTTATCCTTGTAAAGCCTGCGTGGGGTGCTGGAGGGAGGCTTGAGCTCACACTGATACACATGACAGAGCTCTGTCCCTCAGGAATTGTGTTCCAGCACAGGGAAGTTCAGGAGCGTTTGCAGGATTGGGATTTAAGTGCACAGCTCCCCTGAGCGAGGCTTGCATTCCTGATCACTTCTACATCCTGCTAAATCTGGGTCCCAACTAGGCAATAATCCCTCATTTAAAAGCAGCATGGTACTTTTTGTTTTTACAACCTGGTTTCTCAAGTATTTCTAGAAATAAATAAATAAACAGGATAACTTTGTCCTTGATATATCCAGCAGACATTTGTGAGAACAAAGAATGACTTGCGTGAGTCGGTTTGCCAATGGAAATTTACACTTTAAAATTGCTCCGAGTGCATTGCAGTGCTCTTAGAACCTTTTCACTTCAGTTTCAAGCTTGCAATGCACTGACTGAAAAGTGCATGTGTGCTTTCAGCACTGTTCTTTAATGAAGGGAATGTCTGAGGATCAAGTAAAAAGCATAAATTTAAATTTGGCTACGGTGAAAGAGATTCTCCCATTAGATCTTCCCTGCTGGAGACAGCTCCCTGTTACCTTAGTATGGCTCACACACACTCCTCTCCTGTAGTTTTGCTTCACTGATATAAAAGTGAAGTTTATTTTGGTGTAAATTCAACATCACCTGAGTTAAATTTGGTTTTGTAATCCCCTGTTACATAAATTAAGCACAAATACATTAAAGATTGTGCTGCTGAGTCTCTGAGCTGGTGATTCCAGTCTCCCTAATCGAGACAGGGTTTCAGAAACCTAAAAAACCTGAACTAATCATGATTGACTACATAAATGCACCACATTAAACTGTGAATTATGGTATTTGATTATAGATGTAATTACTGTATCTTGTTTTGGAGACAAATCAAAATACTGAGGATATGAGCCTGTTCTGTTGAGTTATATTTGATTGTTCAGGATATAGATCTGGTTTCTGGTTGTTGTTAAGGCTGACTTTCTAAAACATCAGGAGATGACTTCTCTGGGTATCTCAAAAACAAGTTTTGTTGAACAAATAGGCTTCTCTCCATTTCAAATGCACAGGAGATGCCTCGATTGCTGTCCCCTGAGAGGCTCAGGGAGCAGCACTGCTGGGAATAGACACCCCAGCAGCCCCCTGGGATTGCCTTGCAATAATTTATTACCTGTCAGGTGATAATTAATGTCCTGGGAGCAGCTGGCAGAGGGACCTTTTGGTCTCACAGTACCTGTGGGATGGGATGTGAGCAGGGAGGAGGAATAGGGCAAGAGGTTCCCTGATTTGACTACACAGACATCAGGTCTCAGCCCCAGATTTGTCCCTGGAAGGGCTCAAGGCCAGGCTGGATGGACTCTGAATAACCTGCTCCAGTGGAAGGTGCACATGGCAAGGGAGCTGGAACAAGATGAGCTTTAAGGTCCCTTCCAACCCAAACCTTTCAGTGATTCTATGATTTGGGGTTTTTTTAAAGAGATCAGCACCAGTGAGTAAATAAAGCAGAGGTAAGTGGAGAAGTGGTGAGAATAAATGTTTTTTAGGGCCCTTTCTGCTGGAGAGTGAGTGTCCTGGAGCAGGAGTAGGGAATGCTGTAGGAGCAGCCTCCATAGGCATTGTGGGTGGGAATGTGGAACTTTGGGGCACCACCAGCTGCTCAGCCAGAAGTGAGGAAAAAGTTCTTGCCTGATGCAACTTCTCCATTTCCCTGTGGAAATTTTTGCCTGAGTCCTGTCTCCACTCCCCACTGCTGCTGCCCCATCCTTTGCTCAAACTCTGCTCTCAGAATTAGGTGCTTTTGGCATGGAATAATAGATTGGACTCCACACTCTTTACTATTTCTTAATTTATTTACTATTTCTTAACTATTCTTTACTTTTCAGTTCCCTGTTCCAAAGGGAAGTGGGCTTTTGCCAATCCCATGTGGGCTGCTCTGTCCACAGGGCTCTGGGCTCTGGGCAGAGCCAGCAGAGCAGAGGATGGAGGCAGCTCCCTAATAAATACAGATATTTGAGCAGCTTTACATGGATATCACTGTGTTCCTGCTCCCCACCCCCTGCCTGTCCTCAGCACTTTTTTCTGGTGTGATCCCCAAAGTTGGGGTTTTTTCTCCTCTTTTGCTGCCTTAGTTTCCCACCAGGTGGGTTCAGAGCAGCAGCTCAGGGCAAGGGAGAGGCCAGGAGAGCAAAGCCAGGGGCAGGAGCAGCACAAATGTGTCAGCTCAGGTTGACTTAAACCTGAATTTAAATCCTTGAACTGTACCTGGGTGAGCCTGACTGACTTGGAGAGAGGGGAAGTTAAGCTCAGGTATTTATGTCCCCTCTCAAGCACAACTTTTGGGAGCTGCTGGTAAACCTGGGGCCAGTTGGCTTTTTTAAACAAACCCCCAGGTCACTTTAGCCAATTTTTCTCTACAGTTTAAGCATGGAATGTTGATACTTCCCCCCAGTATTCTCCCTTTATACCATATGAATTTATAAATACCGGACAAAGCAGAACATTCTGTATTCCTTAGTTATTTATCTCATTCATTCAGATAAAAACTGTTCTAGTTATCAAATATTCAGTTTCCATTAGTACTTGGAAATAACTTTTTTTTTGGTATAGATCTCAGTGCGTTAAGTAACTGGATTTTTTATGATAAGAGTTAAAGTAAAAGCACTATAAAGTGAAATTTAGCATACTACAAATTTTCACAGGCATTCCTGGTTCAGCATGAGCCCCTATTAATTCATCACTGGAGAATAGTTTATTATAGTACTTTTTCCTTATTTAGGATCTTAATGGAAATTTGAAGGCAGTTTTCTAATTTAACAGAATGTTGTGTCTGCTTCAGAGCTGATGGTATTGTTCTTTTGAAATCTGTGGGTAACTTTTCTGCTTTCCCTGGAAGATTTAAGGTCTGGGTGGTGTAAATAGGCCTATTGTGAGCAAGATAGTTAAAAGTCATTAATTTCAGAAGTGTAAAATTCCTGTCATTTTGATCTTAAATCTCTGTCTTGCTTTTCCTTTTCCTTGCCATTAACCTGAGGATGCAACTTATTAATGGTTTGCTCTCCTTGTACTGGGCTATATGCAGGACAGAATCAGGAAAGGTTAAAGAGCTTTACCATGCAATCATGAAATGATTATTATATATAATTAACAAGGCAGTCCTGCTAGCAGCCATCTGAAAAAGCTGTGTTTTGGGTAGGTCACTGTGCTTTACCATGGGTACATCAGTGGATGGATATTTGTATATGAAATCTGAAAAAAAACCCAAACAAAAAACGAAAAGAAGCAAAAATAAGAGATGTTCTTGGGCTATGTTAATTTACAGAACTGAAGTTGTGGTATGGCAATCTAATGTTGGAATCTGTATTTGTGAAGTCATCAGACAGATATTTTAAGGCTGGGAAAGGATTTCCTGAGGTCATTAGCATTCTTTTCATGTGGCATAAGAGCACTGTCCAACAGTAATGCAGTAATCCCTCATTTGGAGAACCCTCTAAGGCACAGACTCCAAAACAACGTGCTGGACTTGATGTCTGTGAAAGCCATTTCTCATATTCTTCTCCCACAGCAAGTACTTTTAAGGGTATTGCCATTCTGATGAGACCACTCTGGCTCCCCACTCAGCTGAATTGCTCTTTAAACTATTAATTTGGTCAGTCGAGTAATTTAATAATTTTCCATATGCAGACAACAGAAGCTGAAAATCAGTTTGATGTGCTGGAACTACTAATCATGTCT